ATTAAGCCGGGGATGCAGGAAACTTGATTTTCGTGGCAAAATTCGTGGCAAATTTGCCACGAATTTTGCCACGAAAATAAAAAAAAGGCATTTATTCTAATATGTTCGAAATTTGTGGCAAATTTGCCACGAATTTAAAAAAAAAACATTTTTCCTAATATGTTCGAAATTTTTTGTAAAATTCGTGGCAAATTTGCCAACGAATTTTGCGACGAAAAATCAAATTAAGCCGGGGATGCACAAAACTTGATTTTCGTAGCAAAATTCGTGGCAAATTTGCCACGAATTTAAAAAAAGGGCATTTATTCTACTATGTTTGATTTTTGTGGCAAAATTTGGGGCAAATTTGCCACGAATTTTGCCACGAAAAATCAAATTAAGCCGATAAGCCGGAAACTTGATTTTTCGTGGCAAAATTAGTGACAAATTTGCCACGAATTTCAAAAAAAGGCAGTTATTCTAATATGTTCGAAATTCGTGGCAAATTTGCCATGAAAAATCAAATTAAGCCGGGTATGCCGGAAACTTGATTTTCATGGAAAAATTCGTGGCAAATTTGCCACCAATTTTTCCATGAATGTCGAACATATTAGAATAAATGCATTTTTTTGAAATTCGTGGCAAATTTGCCACGAATTTTACCACGAAAATCAAACATAGTAGAATAAATGCCTTTTTTTGAAATTTGTGGCAAAATTCGTGGCAAATTTGCCACGAATTTTGCCACAAAAATAGAACATATTAGAATAAATGCCGCGAGACTTTATTTTCATGGCAAATAGTACTAGAATAAATACCTTTTTTTGAAATTCATGGCAAATTTGCCACAAATTTAAAAAAAAAGCCGGCAAACAATTACCAATTTAAAAAATAAAAAAAGTTTGCGACGAATTTTTTTTTCGTGGCTAATTTGTGACGAAAAATTATTGGTGGCTAATTTGCGAAGGATTTAGCCACGAATTCGATATTACCAATTTAAAAAATAAAAAAATTTTGCGACGAATTATTTTTCGTGGTAATTAGCGACGGATTTATCGATGAATTTGACATTACCAATTTAGAAAATTTGTGACAAAAAAAAATCTGTGGCTAATTAGCGACGGATTTTGCGACAAATTTGACATTAACAATTTAGAAAATAAAAAAAATTTTGCTACGAATTATTTTCCGTGGCTAATTAGCGACGAACAAAAAAGGTCGTCGCAAAATTACATATTAATTATAAGATTCCAGAAGCCGAAATAATAAAAGATAATACTTCTTATAAAACTTCATTCCTTTTATAGGACTTATACAACCTTTTCAAATTATCATTTTAGGGACTTATAGGGACTCCTTTTATAGGACTTATACAACCTTTTAAAATTACTAATGATGGTATCGAGACCAAATTTTTAAAAAAGGAAAATAATTTTTAATATTATAAGCAAACCACAAACCAAGAACTTAAGTACACTTCAGGAACAATCCGTTTCTGAAATAAATTGTATTATCCAAAATAAGAAAACCACCTTCAATATTTAAAAGAAGACCTTGAGCATAAAAGAATTGAGCAAAATTTTTCTGATTCTACTATTAAGAAAATAATTGCTAATCTTGAAATTTGCATAAAAAGTTCTATATGTTCGACACTTCCTAATGCTTTTTGGTCTAAAAAATATCATATAGTTGATTTACCGTATGAATCTTAATTTTTTGAAAAAGAAATCCCGACCAAGGCAAGACCTTCCTAAATGAATCAGGAAGTCATGAATTTTTGTCAAAATGAAATCCAAGAACTTCTTGATAAAAATCTCATTAGAAAGGGCCAATCACCTTGGAGTTGCTCTGTTTTCTATGTAAACAAAAATACTAAATTAGAAAGAGGAGTTCCAATATCGGTAATCAACTATAAACCTTTAAATACAGCTCTGAAATGGATAAGATATCCAATTCCTAATAAAAAAGACTTATTGAATAGATTACACAATTCAAAATTATTTTATAAATTTGATATGAAATCAGGATTTTGGCAAATACAAATCAATGAAAAGGACAGATATAAAACTGCCTTCACTGTCATGAGACATCAATGGTGGATCCCACAAGGGATAGTATGGTCAAAATACAAAAAAAAAGAGAATTTAAGCCCTATATAAATACTAAATAATGTGTGAGATTGTGAGTAACCTTTTAAAAGAGTGGGTCATGTTCAAGAATTATTCTGGCTAAGGTCTCGCTTTCACCTCAACAAGTTCGAATGGAGAGACAATTCCCCAACGCAACTTATTATTGCTACCTTCACAACCTGCAGTACCTATGAACTGAGATTTTTTCTGATAGAAGATGATTTACTTAGTATGCAGAATGAGTTATTAACTGCTTCTAGCTAAGACACAATCATCCAAACGGGCATATATTGGTTATAATTCACATTTTCTAGATGATTATTCAAGCCAATATAGATATATATTCACCACATAGAAAGGTTACTAAATCGATAGAACTAACAAACGTATGGAAAAAGTCCTTTGTTAAAGGATAGATGAAAATATAGCCCTTATTTTTCCTCCTTTATTAGAAGTGTTGCGCCATAAGTGAAGGAGAAAGCTTCATCATGTTCATGTGACTGACTTATTGAACGATGATTGATCCAAAATCAAATGGGTTTCGTCCTAGAATCTAACTCGATATGTCTCACTCAGTTGTGGGAGTTGGATAGGAACGGATTTTCATTCTTGTTGGACCACAGAGCTGTACGATGTTGCCGTGATGGAAAATGTCATGTTCTTCACCACGAAACAAAACCGCCAGACTAGTCCCTCGGCACCACTGGCGTCCCACTTGCTCAATCCGAGCTTCGTTTCTTTCACTAGCTAATCCATTTTGGTGTAGCTAACTTCGTCTGTAAAATGTATTATTATCGACGAGGATTGAGTTGACAAACATGGTAGAAGACGTAGAAGAAGATACGTTATGATCCGATCCTGAATATTTATTTCAGATGCGTGTAGATCAGTCATCAAAATCCAGTAGGAATAATACCCAGATGCTGTTCCGGCGTCTTTGTCAATGTCTTAGCGAAACATGACGGAAGAACGTAGTAATCAAACCTGGTCAAACTAGCACTATCCTTCTAGAAAGAGTGCACGAAAGTATGCACAAGTCCCCCGTCACGTCCACGTTAATGAATGATACACTTTGGGTTATGATAGAATTTTCATTCTCCGCTATGGCTCTATTTATTTCGTCGAAAATAAATGATTTATAAAATATTTTCTTAAAAATAATTATTTAATCGTTTGAAATAATTAGTCAATGTAGAATATCTTCATTATCGACAACAATTTATATCTATATATTTTCGTGAATAATGAAAATATTTTTCGTTTGTTTATTTTTGTAAGTGATACAATCTATCATTTTTAGAAAAATATTTTTTAAAATTATTTATTTTTCGTGAAACAAACGGAACTTATGATTGAATATTAGTAGCTAGTCTCCGTTGACCTAATATTTTATCTACAGTAATACATCAGATTAGGTACTCGAGCAATCCATTTCCAGAACCTGCCGTTTTCCAGTCTTCTAGCATAAATTAGTTGCTATTCGCCACACTCTTTCCCAGTAATGAGATTATTAATTATCGAATACAAAAACACAAAATGATCATTGTTAAGTCCGCAATAAATATAGGTCGTAAATTTCAATCAAACCAATTCTTACATCCGGTTTGGAAGCCGAAGGAAAATATTATGTGGACTCAGCCTATGTCTACCAACATGATCATAGCAATTGAATGTGTGGTCCAAATAGATTAAGGCGTGTGTTTGTTTCACAGAAAACTCGATTTTAAAATAATTGGTTATATCGCTTTAAAATATTAATCAACGGAAAATGTTTCATCGTTGACAACAATTTATTCCTAAGTATTTTCGCGGGTGATGAAAATATTTTGCATTCATTCATTTTTGTAAGGGATATAAGTAATCATTTTTTGGAATCTGTTTTTCAATCTTGAATTTTTTGTAAAACAAACGTATCCTAAGCTTATGTAAAAGAAACTTCTCGAGGCTAAAGCCATGGGTCGAAGGTTTTATTACATACTATTACGAGTCATGACAACATGTTTGAGCTGTTTTATTGGGAAGTAAGTAAAATTATCTACCTTCTAAGTTCCAGAAATCTTTTTAATACCATTATATGCTGACACGGTTATGTAGTGCAAAAAAGTTGAGGATCTTTGTAGTTCTGTTGTGCAAGGCTCGGGAAGAGAGGGTGGCTTAAATGTATCTATATGGATTTCTGTAAATTAGATGTATTACTTAAGATATTGCCAGTATGCAATCTGGGAGGAACTATATGTATGATCATTCTCAATAGAATATCAATGAAAGACTTCCTGTCGTTTCCAAGAGATTTCAAGAACAACCCTTTGAAAATTCTTTACTGTCATTTGATTGCTGTTATATGTTTTACTAGTTTAATGAATTCTCATTCTCCAGGAAGATCATGGTCAGTTTGCTTTCCAGACTCCTTGATCTATATCTAAAATATGTGAACTTTGAACGTCTTTTATTATATCTTGCTTGAGCATGAAAACCATTCCCGTGTGATTTTAGTTTGTTATCTGAATTCTGGCTAAGTTCTCGCTTTCATGTCACCTCAACAAGTTCAAATGGTGCGACGATTCCCCAACGCAACTTATTATTGCTACCTTCACAACCTGTGATACCTATGAACTGAGATTTTTTCCGATAGAAGATGATTTGCATAGTTTGCAGAATGAGTTATTAACTGCCTCTAGCTAAGACACAATCATCCAAACGGGCATATATTGGTTATAATTCACATTTCCAGATGATTATTCAAGCCAATATAGATATATATATATATATATATATTCACCTCACAGAAAGGTTAATACACTGATAGAAATAACAAACCTACGGAGAACTTATTAGCTGTTCTTTATAGGCACATAAGGTGACTCAGCAGTCTAAACAGACCAATTTTCTCAATTAATAGAAAAAATCATGGGAAAATAACCATTCATCCTGCAAAAACCAGGATTCGAAATTGTTGTCGGTGATAAATGGTTCAGTCCAGAACCTCCCGCTAGACTCTGCAATATATGTGGTGCGAGATGCTTCGTACTCTGTGTTTGAGAAGTCCGCAACTTCCGTGCACATGGATAGTGAAGTCTTGCTCAAGCTCGAAGACAAATGGAGGGACGCAAACCCTTCTACGATCTGATGAGTCGCAGGGCAATTTATAGGAAGGTCGAGGATATTGTTTGGAGTCGTCTCGGATATATTCTTAGGTCCAACTTCATGTTCACATGAATGATTTTCTGAGATGGTTGCTTCTTGCGGAGATGCTGATGCTGATGATGATGTATTTTGACTCGAGCGCTTCTTCAAGTTGGTGTGCCAGTAATTCTTGACTTCATTGTCTGTTCTTCCTGGTAACTGAGATGCAATAGCTGACCATCTGTAGATTATTGTATGTACAAATAGAACATTAGATACTCCTCTTCCTGGTTGAAATGTGTTATTGTTTTCTCAGGAAATGTAATTGCATTTTCTTCAACCCAGATCAATTCGCGAATGCTAGTCAATCAGAAAATTTGCAAAGACCGGAGTAGGAAATTTATGTGGTCAGGTATCATTCTCTCTCTTTTTCGTGATCATGACTCATGTCTATTTGAAAAGTGGAGACAACAGATGATACATGATCTCATATGCTTTGCTATCCTAATTGCGCTTTAGGAATATTTTGTATGACAATCGAAGCATTCCACAATTAACTCAGAAGAAGGAGAATCCTAACTCCATGTTCTTCAGCTTGTTAAAGAATTTATGCTTCTTCCAATTAGTATTGCATCGCGCTTTTTAGGTTTCATCAACTCATTTCTCTGTCCCAAAAACGAGAAACTCGGGAAATTCTGACAAGGATAATACTCGGTTGGGTTTTTCCTTCCTTTTTTGTTCCACCATCGGTAAATATTGTGTTATCATCTTATGTTCTCACATCAAGGCCCTTCTCGCATGCATCAAGAAAACAATGAGCTCCGGATAGATAATGAAGAAGCTGTTTGTTTTATTAATGAAGCCTTTCTCCCTAGAGGAACTTCACACACTCGCAGGGAAGTATATGACATTAATCTTCTTTTTTCAAGTACATATTACATTATTCATGTGAAGTTTTCTTTGTTTCAAGTTGGGTTTTGTTTTAGAGTAGCTAGCATGCTAGAAGATATAACTTACTTGTTCCCGAGCAATCCTTGGAGTCTGGTGATGATTCCTTCTTCTTCCTTGGTATAATTCCCTCTCTTGATATCTGGCCTTAGGTAATTCATCCATCTGAGTCTACAACTTTTTCCACATCTTGATAACCCTGCAAATTTGTAGGGGAAAGAAAGAATCTAAACTATAAGCTGCTACAACATGCATATGTAATTAAGAGTAAGAACTCAACTTATTTATAACTTCATCCTCTTTTTGTAGAGCTTCTCTTTGCCACGGCTATTGTATCAATCGCGAGAATAGAGAGAAAGGAGATCTGCGGATACTTTTGCCTTCTTTTCGCTATAATAAGACTGTGAGCATATAAGCTTGAATCCAAAATAGAAATGGTACTTCTTCTCCTACTTCTAAGGAGGGAAAAAAGAAATTATTCAAGAGATTTTGCGTTAACCTTAAAACCTAAAGAAGCACTTGAAGATTAGAAATTATCACTTTTCTCCCTTGAACCTTAAAAATTATAGAAGACTATCGATTTAGTAGCGAGAATTGTAATTTCTCCATTTACAGATAAAAAAGGAAATTCTACAGCTTGGCAAGTAGAAAGAGCTTATTTCAAGGTTTCCAGGTTCTTGTTTTTTTTTCTTTTCTTCGAGAAAGAGGAGCTGGAAAACCTTCAACTGGTTCTGAGAAGAAGATCCATAAGATCACAAATTTCATTCCTGTGCACATGTTACTTAAAACGACACTTGATGATTTGAAAACATATCGAACGATTATAGATAATTCTACCTGCATACTTGGGGAGTTTGTGCCAATTCCAGTTGCCATATTGGCTCACGTAGGCCCTCAGCTTCTTGTCTTCCTCAAGAGTCCATGTTCCTTTCTTCATCCCATTCTTGTCTCGCCCTGGTGTCCTTGCCATCTCTCTCTCTCTCTCTCTCTCTCTCTCTCTCTCTCTCTCTCTCTCTCTCTCTCTCTCTCTCTCTCTCTCTCTCTGTACTAGGAAGAATAATTTTTCTACCTTTTTAAGCGTCGAAAGGGTTTGAAGTCGGGCGGTATTTATAGAAACCTTTTCTTGACTCCGAGAAAGACGTTAGACGTGAGGAAAATTATCAAAAAAGTCCTAAATCTATTGTACTTGTGCTAATTCAGTCATAAAACTTTTTTATTTACCAATTGAGTCTTAAACTTTTTAGATTTGTGCCAATTCAGTTCATCCGGCCAATTTTGGCCAGAAATCACTGACATGGACGACAGCTATCCTACGTGGCACGACTGGCACTGACGTGGATATTTTTAAATAATATTGTAATAATTATTTCAATTATTTATTTATTTTCATTTTCCTTTTTTCTTTCTCTTTCTTTTCTTTTCTTTTTCCTCTAGCTAGCCGGTGAGGGTCAACCTCGCCGTCGCTGGGCGAGGCCAATGGCTGACAAGGTCGACCTCGACGGACCTCGGTGACTGGCTAGAGGAAGATGAAAAGAAAAGAAAGAGAAAGAAAAAAGGAAAATGAAAATAAATAAATAATTGAAATAATTATTACAATATTATTAAAAAAAATTATTTAGAAATGTCTATGTCAGTGCCGACAGCGCCACATAGGACGGCCAGTGTCCATGTCAGCGATTTCCAATCAAAATTAGTTTGATGAACTAAATTGGTACAAATACAAAATATTTAGGACTCAATTAGTAAAAAAAAAATTTATGATTAAATTGGTACAATTATAATATATTTTGGACTTTTTTGGTATTCTCCTCCTAAACGTGTTCCACACGACTAGTACAGCGTCGGGCTTGTCTTTTCTTGGTAAGATAGCCATCCTTACTTTATGTTTTTTTCACTTTTAAATTTAATAATTGTAGAGCTGCTTCCTTTTTTATGGGTCTGACAAATTTTTTAAGCAAACACTTGGCATTAAAAACAAGGGAACTATTAAAGTATTTGCCTTGTCTACCCCAGATGAGGATTCGGTTCCAGCAGTGAGAGAGAATCAAACGATTATCTTTATGCCTTCAAGTTAGGCCATGCATGGGACTCACGATGGTATAAGCATCTACCTTATCAACTTGTTCAAGTTGAAATTGTAACTTGTGTGTGGTAATATTATATAAAGGGAAAATGACACAAACGGTCCCTGAACTTTGATTCAATGTGTAATTTGATCCCTGAACTTTTAATTTATTCAATGTAGTCCATGAACTTTAACCTAATGTTCAATATGGTCCCTGAACTTTTGATATATGTTCAATATAATCCCTGAACTTTATAAAAATGTTCAATGTAGTTCTTCCATTAATTCAAATTCAGATACTATATTGTATATTTTCATATAGTTCAGGAACTAAATTGAACATATACCAAAAGTTCAGGGACCGCATTGAACATTAGGCTAAAGTTCATGGACTACATTGAACAAATTAAAAGTTCATGGATCAAATTACACATTGAGCCAAAGTTCAGAGACTGTTCGTGTCGTTATCCCTTCTATAAATCCTGCGCCAAGTACGCTGACTAGGTGCTGCACATGTAAGGCGTAGAGTATATTCTGAAACGTGATGTTAAAAGGGTATTCAATTACAAGCTCACTTCATATACATAAGTACAAACTTTGAAGACTATGATAGGGCAAAAAAATACACAGTGGTATGGTGCATAATCAATTTGTGTGCCTTCTCGCAAATTCTTGAAGCAAGATAGCATTGTGAAGCCCGTAGACAAACAAGAAATTATACAATTCGATGGTAGTTATGTAGAGATACACAAACACGAGAAGCTATATTGTGTGGTCTGATAGACTAAGTCAACTTCATATCAAAAAACAATGATTAACATATTAGATCTTATACAAATGCACAAGTATAGAAAGAAGGAAAAAGTGTCTGAAAAGTCCTAAACATATTACATTAATGCCAATTTAGTCCGAAACCCTTTTTTTTGTACCAATTTAGTGATAAATTTTTTGACATAGTGTCAATTCAGTCTTTCCAGCTAATTTTGGTCGGATATTGCTGACGTAGATGTCGGCCATATGTGGCACTGCCGGCGATGATGTGGACAATTTTTAATAATATTTTAATATTTTTTTCAATTTTCTAATTTTTTTTAAATTTCTTCTACCTTTTTGCCGGTGACCGGCCATCGGCCACAGGCGATGGCCGGCCGAGCTAGCCTCGCCTAGCGACGTTGTTGTCACTCGCCACAGGTGAGGGTCAGCCGACGGCGACCTCGCCCAGGCGAAGCTAGCCCGGCCGGCCATCGCTTGCGGCCAATCACCGGAAAAAAGTAGAAGAAAGGGAAAAAATAAAATAAAGAAAAGAAAAAAAGAATAGATCATAAAAAATAATTTATAAAGTCAAAAAATATTATTAAAAATTGTCCACGTTAGCACAGGCGGTGTCACGTCAGCCATCCGGCATCTACATTAGCAATATCCAGCCAAAATTAGCTGGAAGGACTGAATTGGCATTATAGCAAAAGGTTTAGGACTAAATTGGTATCAAAAAAAGATTTAGGACTAAATTAGCACAAATGAAATATGTTTAGATTTTTTCTAACACTTTTCCCATAAAATGAATTTATATGATATATTTCTTTTCATAGATATAGAGAATCCGGGCGTTTGCTAGCTATCTCCTAAATTTTTCTTCCAATGCAAGTTGATTGACTCCGGATAAGACTCTTCTATCAAGCCCTATCTGGAGGAGTGGAAGTTAAAGAGCGTACTCCTCTCTTCATGTTATGTCATTGCTCTACCAAAATGACGCGACGTATGTATACTAAAAGCCAGGACGAATTAGATTTGAGTCTTCTTAGTTGTCCCTATGCATGCTCGTCATGAGTCAACGGGTCCACGAGATCATCGATCACACTTCAATAGCCAATTGATCATATTTCCTGCACCCTCCTTTACTCAAAATAAGAACGGTTATCGCTACACTTCTTTTTGATGAACACGGACCAACTTACAACATGGTGGTCGGTCCATGTATCCATGGAGGCTATGTGCAAAGAAGGGGGAAAATATAAACAAATCCTCTCTAAAAACCATGTCTATAACAGCTAATATTACCTATAAACAAGTATTGACTGCTTTCAATTACAACCCCAAGGAAAATAAAATACTGGGTGGTTCATCTGACGATTGGACCAGACTTGGATCTTCAGCTTCGTTCGTCTTTGTACAGCAACCACAGCGACAAAACGCGTGTGGAAAAGAGGACATCACTCGAAAATAGTCGAAGCCACCGGCGTTGCACAGGTGAAAAACTAAGGCCATTGTTGACCGGACTCGATTTGTAATTTCAACGGGGGAGTTCATGAATGAAAACCCAATGGGAGCATCCGTGTCGTTTGACACCGTCCAGGTCGGGCACGGGCATCACCCGTCAAAAAGGCGCATACTTCTCCAGGAACCCATCAACGTTATTGCAAGAGACAAGAATTTCAAGATCAAACTCCTCGAGATCGAGAGAGAGAGAGGCCAAAAGTTTCGAAGGTTCGTGCATTCACATTCGCGGAAGTCTTGGGTATCATCCTTTTCGAGGTCCCCAGGGCAGAGGAAAGTGATGATGGAAGCAATACGAACGATTGCCGGAAAATTCGATCCCGCTTCCGACACGTCGGGGTCTGTTAATGTGCATTAAGTATGGTTCTTTTCTTTTCGTTTTTCTAGGTTTTGGGGCCAGGATGTCCGCTGTCCAGGATTAATTTAGTGCGATCTTTTTTCTCCCTTGTTTTGAATTTCCATGCACGTGTCCGTGTGGAAGAAACAGTCAAAAAGCGCTTTTGGATGATTAGAAAGCGATTTCGCATGGTAAAAGACGGACCGTTCACCTTTGCTTGGACACGGGCGGATGAGTCGGAGCTTCGAGGTTAAGTTTGAACATAAGTAAAATCGACACGCGACATGACACGTTATTTATCAAAAAAATAGAAAAATTCAATACGTTGGGACATGTTATATATTTAATTTATATTTATATATAATAAATAATCATTTTTATGATTATTTCAATCAAATTAATTTAATTTAAATTCATAAATAAATAAATAATAATAAAAAGAGTGTTGGACGAGTGTCGGTGTCCGACACGACACGGAAGCCCCCCGGAAAATGTCCATGCTTCCTAGGTTTGAATTTAGAGTCGGTCCTCCTAGATCGATTTTATACGGTAAGCTTAGTGTTACTAATGTTACTTGCAAAATGAATTTTTCCTTTTGATTAAAGGGAATATCCTCTAGGAGAACGCCAGGCTCATTTCTTGTATCTCACAAATTCTTTATTCACGATGGAACTAGTGTATATACACAACACTTGTGGTATTCGCACCTAATCAAGTTCACCAACCGCCAAGACAATGGCCTATTGGGTCATTTATCTTTCACAAGGCCATGAGTTTGATTCATGTTGTGAGCGGGCCTTGAAACATACCTTGTACGAAGAGACCCCACTGCTAGCATCTTGGAAGGGCCATGTTGACGAGCTCACCAACCTCGGTGGTGTCGGTGATGCGGAGTAGTTATGACTTAAACCTAACATTCTGTAACAAATGTGCAACGGTAAGCACCCTAAACAGCTCAAATTGCGTTAAACTAGTTGAATCATATATTGTGCGGAGAAACTTCCCCACTCCTATCATATTAGTGGGGTTACAGTGATGGGCTCCCCGAGCTTGAATCTTCGGGTGCGGATGATGTGGAAGAGCTATAACTCGGACCGAATATTTTGTAATAGGTGTGAGACCATTTACGGTAAACAACTAGACAGGATCATTAGCGCCGGTCATTCCGCCCGCCCTATTTCCTAGTCTTGCAAAACGTGACTAAGTTTTATTCTTTTCAGACTTGCGTTGCCTTTAAGATTTCATTGTCCGTTGAAACATTCCCAGAAAAGATATTCATGGGTTCTAATCAACATCAAGATTATATTAGAAATTTCAACTTGCTGCTCATTGCTCACCCCCATTCAAATCCATCGCCATTGGGCTAAAGTTCTTAGAGTTCTAGATGATTAGATTAATTTAGCCCTTGAGAACAACCTCTCGAGGAATCGGAAGGCGAGAGACAGACGGTGATGGAGACCTGTCTTTGCAGAAACAATTAGAGCCCTCGTTGCGCGTCCATAACAAAAAGCCCGTCACTCCAAAAGATGCTTTTCATGTGAGCATACTAACCCCCCATTAATGTCCTAGAGAAATAAAATAACATGACTTGGTCCGTCTTCCACGGCAAACGCAGGTCAACTCTATGCCATGCACACCATGCAATGAGGAAAAGAACGTTTGAAAACATTGACTAATCAAACATGGGGCTCAAGTCAAATCTTGATAACTCGCTATCGGATCTAGCGTTTGTATTGTTTAATACATGGTATTCACCTCGAAGAATAACGCATTGCCTTCGTTAAAGAAATGAACCGCGATGTCAGGAGTGCGTCGCGAAAGACGTAATGGAAAGCACCTGGATGCGTGTCTTCATGCACGCACTAGATGTGCCTGCACCAGTCATTTTGGTCCCAAATCCTAGGCAAAGGGGACTTTCTTTATAATTATGCAAGAGGGGGTTTTTCTTCAAGTCAACTTAATTATTTTAAGCAAAGTCGAGATCGAGTAAACTATGGCCTATCATTTGACATTCGATTCCACCTTATTACATGACCAAAAATTCCCCGTTCACATAATAAGGCTCGCATTAAATTTTTTTCAAAGAGCGCGGGTCTTGGCATTTGACTGAAGAAGGGCAATTTTCACACACTTTAACGTCATCTGGACTGTGTTGACCATCCTAAATTGACCTGACTATTTCAACTTTCCATGCATGTCTTAATAATCATGACTCGTGCATCACGTCCCACTCTTTATTTTTTATTTTTATTTTTTTGCCCCATTTTTGACCCGTGGTAAAATTTCCACTCAGGTCAATTCATATTCCCTCTCTCAAAAAATAAAATAAAAATTAAATTAAATAAGAACGAGAAACAAGACTTCTCGATGGTTATGCCTATTCTAATTCTTAGCCAATTTCTCTGATCTTATCTAGAAATTGAAAATTAGGCAACAAATATGGGAAATGCAGGAAATTTGTACCTTGATAATTTCAATATTTCGTTAATGTAGTACCCTCAGGTCTTGCCACACTAATGTGGCGGCTTGATTGCTAGACTTTGACTATCAAATGTTGGTCGGTGCAAATACTAGGTTTAGGTCAAACTGGACCCTATTTGTGTGGAAATTCTCTTTTAATTTTTGTTCTTTTCCGAAGGAAATCGAAGACCAGACAGGTGAATCCAACATTCTTTTTCGTGCGAGTTCCCATTTTCTGTTATTGTCCTAACCCTTGCGGCTGAATATTTCTTTATTGTTTAAGCTATTTTTAATCTTGGAGAAATTTCTTCACATCATCCTTGACTTCGTATACCATCACTTTCGAGTGGACTGGTAGAATACTAGAATTGCAGCTCGGCTTCAATTTCGTTTGCAATCCGGTCTAGCAAGTTGGAATTTGATGTGGCCGAAATTTGAAACCTTTTTGTTGAATTGAAAGAGAGATTCAGTGACCTTCGATGAAAGTTTAGCAAAAATTGAGTTTTGCATCATGGAGGCGGGGCTATTTGGGGTGTTGTTATTCACCTACTTCTGTGTTGCCTTTGTGGCTCTACTTCTAAATTTTCAAGCTGAAAACAAAAATTACTTTAAATGCGGAAATTTTCGAAAAATTACATATATGATGTCTCGGTGTTTGGATATTTTGAAAGGTTTCGAGTGTTTTTGTTACAACAATAGGTATCGGTCGTAACGGAACACGGATGTCGTTGCCGGCCCGTTTCAGAGTGCGTTGTTTAAATCTCATTAATCTGTGGTAATAAACAAATATTGTTCTGTCCTTTGACGATCGTAGGCTCCATTTAGGATTATGGACCAATGTATTAAGTTAAACAGAATCTAAGCTAGGCCCGATGAAATAGGCGCTGTCCGCTCATAACGTTGAGCCAGATTTAGCAAAATCATTGGCTTTTAATACGAAAGTACATGATTCTGTCACTTATTATATACATTAGAATGGGTGATATAAGTAAAAAAAGAAAAAGGGTTTTCAGCTTGCTAGTTAGGAAACGGTAAAAGCGAATGCGGGTTAAATTGCTTTATTTCACTTCTTAAAAGAAGCTACAGTCTTTTCAAAAGGGAAAAAGAAAAAAAAGGAAGCTACATTGATATAACCCATAAATCGAAATCTTTGGTTATAGATCAAAATGGTGTGGTCGTTAAAGCCGGTCAAATGGATCACAGGCCCATTTTGCAACTCATATTTGATGGTCTTTAGGAGAATGGGTAACTTGTTTGGCAACAAAGTGGGCCAAAATGGGTTAACAACCAGACTTAGTAAAAAGGGTTATGATGGGTTGCTTAAATGACCCATATTTCAACTCATTCGGCATTTCAAGGCTAAAACAAATTTGGAGTATTAAAGGAAATTTGAAAAGGAAAAATCTACAAAACGCACAGCTCCTGGCGAGATGAACTACGATGGGAAACATTAGAAGTTTTTCATAAATTGACGGGAGGAATGTACGCTGGGGAGGGTTTTTGCTCTGTTTCTAAAAAAAATTTCTAGTGTTGTGGGTTGATTTCAATGGAAAGGATGAAATTTGACATGGCATTATTATCCTTCTTTTTCTGGTCTAAATAAAATTATATTATTTCATTGAATATGTAGTAGATGAATCTTCGTTCTATGCATAAAAGAAGGATAATAACATGTTAAAAGGGTGAATATGAGTTTTCATAGATTGGATTGGATTGTGTCGGGTATATGTTGGGTGCTAGTCGGGTTGGGTATGGAACGCTAAAATTGTGTCGCATAAAAACAGTTTAAATGGATCATTTTTTTTTGTTTTCTATAATATTTCTATTTTACAAACCACTGTGTGTGCTATGTATAGGTTTTGAAACCCTGCTTCTTCACTCGATTGTCCCCACCCTCAGACCTTCTGAGAAGGCGGGGAATCGAACTCTCCGCCTCCCCCCTTCCCAAGTGGGAAGGGTGGCCACTAGGGCAACTCCCACTGGTTAGCTTAAATGGGTCAATTTGGATTGGATCTTTTTTCGACCCAATATGACTCACTTATTTGACGGGTCTAATTTGCGTATTTCTTTAGAAGACCCTAATGGAAATGATCAGAGGGTGATGCATAAGCTTTTGGAGATTATTAGACATTAAGATGTCAAGACATAAGTGGGACGACGCATTACACAAATTTTGGACACAAGAGGTTCGTTCGACTTATGGGTAGGAAAGGCAGATGTTACATATGCAAGATCGTCAGATTTCCCATCTGCTGTTTCTCTGCTCGAATGGCTACAGACCACCACTGCATTTACTCACCAACGGAAATGGCACGATTCGATTTCTTGCGATTGGGTAAGCAGGTGAAACTTTTGGCTTGTAGCATGCGTGCAAGCAAAATGCTTGTTCGCACGAGCATTTGCAAGGCACCCCTTTGGATTGATGAAGCAACAACACACTCCTTGAATTGAATGCAGCAAATAAATGGAATAAGGTCAGCATTTCTTGGATGTTAAGGCAACTACCATAATTTAACCCCTCTCAAAGATTGATTAATCTAGAAATGTCTTGACAATCATAATGATGACCAATCAAATTCAAAGCCATTTCTCGTCGCTAAAACTATGATGCCATGGATCTAACTCACTTAGGAATTGTTCGATTTGGCCTGTCCCATACCAAGTCTCACGGTTTTGTCTTTTGGCGTATATACAAGCATATTGCCAAAAGGTCACCTATCTTGACAGCGCTTCCACCTGCATATGCTAGTATTGCCTTTATGTGAAAAGACGCTTTCGTGAGTTAATTCCAATTTTCACACATACATCCCAAGTACGCTCTCCCTCTTTTTGGTGTATAGTTCGATTCATTTCTGCCCTTGCCAGGAGCCGTTTATTGTCCAAGCCCTCTAGCCCTGTCGATCACTCCCCGCTCTCGTCGGACCGGATCGTTACAAAAATCATAAGCCAAGATGTGCGGAGTTATATACCCTCCCCTCCTACCTGTCTGTCCATCGGCGGCAGCAATCCATTATCCGCTCTCACCCTTTTCTCTTACCTTCTCATTCAAGCATTTAAATCCTTAACCACCCAATAGTAATGCTCACTCTGGAAATAGAAATATTTATATATAGAGAGAGATATACACGTACGTACACTAGCACAAAAGAAACAAGTGATCCAAAACAACACTAAACCTATGGCCTTTCGACTCCAAGCCATCCAGAAATAACGAGTGGCCTCTCCATCTTTTCCTGCCTCGTCTCTCTTTTTCTTAGTTGAGTCCGAAACACGGATCGTGATCTGCAACGCTCGAAGTGTCTGGAGAGGATGAAGAATGTGTCGAGGATCAAGTTCTTGCATTGCTTCAGACGGCCCGTTGTTGAGGAAGTGATGCTCGAGCCCAGGCGTGGACGGAACCAGCTCATGCATCTTTTAATGGATGAGGACGGCAATGAGAAAGCGAGCACGAAATCACTGTATGGTCGATCGAGAAAGCATAGCTTTTCGCGCATGTTAAAGTCTGCCCTCTTCGACACCGCTTTGGTTTGTTTTCCCACTTTGTTCGTTTTTCTAGTTTGTGCTATTAATGTAATGTCCAATGACGAGTACATATTATGTTGTGGAAGAAACTACTATTATCGTGAAAATGTCACGTTAGGTCTGAAAACTACGTGACGAACATTTTGGTGGTTTCTGTATGTACTCATTTTTCTCGATTTTTTTTCTTCGCAGGCTCGGAGTATCCGCAGGAAAAGAAGTAGTTCTCTTCGAAACTCATTGTTGACGAAACGCTGTCATTCAATGGATGCCGAACCAAGGGGGTCGTTGCGCGATAATAATGATCAGAAGCTTATTGATGATCAGACGAATCGTTTTTCTTCAACCTCTCCTTCTTCTTCGGGTTCGAGTTCGGCATTAGAACACGTAGACTGTGTGTCCAAACCATGGTCTCCCAGTGGATTCTCGTACAATGGCTCATCAATGAAGCAAGGGCAAAGCCCGGATCATCAAGATCAGTCACGAACGAAGCAAGCCAAGCTTGATATGGCATATCTGCTGTTCATTAGTCTGACGGGGACGGTGTTGTGTGGCAGAGCTTATGCGATAGTCTTCGCATCAATGTGGCTTCTTGTGGTGACTCGCTGGCTTCGCCGGAGTGTCATCGACAATGCCGATGATGCGAGGACCAGAAGACAGAAGACAGTGAAGTTTTTGCAGGTAGAGACAGATGAGAAGAAGGGAAGAAAGACTGTAGCGCAGTTAATTATGGGAGTTATAGGGAGGATGCGTGAAAGGAACCGTCCGCAAAAATGAAGAAAGAGCCGCTGTTGCATTAAATTTTTTACGTGAAAATGCTGTCTTGCGTGATAGATCATGATCGGGGTCTAGTTAGTAGTAGACTTTTGGCGAAGAGAATTTTGTTCTGGCAAATTATGGTTTGTATATATATTCATTTTGAATTTGAAGTCAAGTTGGTATCAATGAAAAGGGGAAATAAGAATTTTTTTGAGCTTATATATAGAGAGATGTCACAAGAGTGGCTTGGGTGTTTTGATCTAAAATGGAATTCATGCGCAAATTGGATAGGTTTTTAAAATACGAACAACAATGCTAGACTTTTTAAGAGTGATTTATAAATGCTAAATAATGTGTGAGATTGTGAGTAACCTTTTAATAAAAGTGGCTCATGCTCAAGAATTAATAACGGTTTAGCACATCACTTAATAAATCAATTTTATAAACCAGTCTTACTAAGTCGAGCATTTTTTAAATACAAATGGCAACCAATGAAACGTTGGCTTAGATTACAAATAAGCTTGCTCATTTGCATGTGGTATTTGGGTTCAAGCGTTATTGGGAGCACTTCAAATTTAAATCCCAAATAAACCATGCCGAAATAGGGGAGTGTGCTCTTAAGACCGCTCCAAAAGGAAGGAAAATGTCGATCGCAGTCTTGTTGCTTCTTTTTAAACATATTTAGTTAAATGATCTTATCTAGTGACCTCTCTAGGTTATTCATCTACAGATCTTGGAAATAACATAGTGTGTTAGCTAAAATAATGTACATATTTCATTCACAAATTTTGTGCTGTGGAGATATATTTACTTCTGCCACATTACACCATCTATACATTGATTGTGTATGACAATTTTTTTCTTGCATGCTACGTGAGTTCATGTACGTATTTTTTTCTCTGATCTTCAGCATTCCATGGAAGGAGGGCATTCTGTTGAAGTCATTGGACTCAAGTCAATCTCATGAGATATGACTATGGATACTCATATGCTTTTAAAAAGCTTTTTTGCCCTTGCAGAGATCATCGCGAAACGGTTGATTGAGAACAAACTACATAGGTCAGCATGGCTATCATGATATACCAATACTAGTGACCAGCGAGTCGTACTTTTAATGGTAGTGGTGGTTGTGAGATTTTGTAGGACTACTGTCAATTGTTCTAAAAGTTTAAATTATTAAAGGAAAGTGTAGATTAAGATTTAAATATTCTAACATTCCCACTTACTCTTAGTTTGGTTTTTTTGCCTAGTACCAAGCTTGGACATATTTAATTAGGGAAGCAAAATGGAGGCCGGAAGATTTGAACTCAGGACCTCGTTACTTCGTTCCAAAAATTTAAACTATTAGAGAAAAGTGTTGTTTAAGATTTAAATATTATATCGGTGGTTATCATATCATGAAAAGCTAAAAATGTTATTACAGTAATTTCCATCAGCCTGATGTTGGCAAACAATGTTATTACCCATAGTGTAAAGTAACACTCGAAAAAAGGAACGTGAGAGTAAGCTAGGATTTAGTTTGGGAAATCATGGCACATCAAATGGGGAATGGGAGGGCCTACGCGAAACGAACCACGGACAAGAATGGTGCATTCGATTAGCCTGTGCTGCACTCTTCAAAATTAAACTAAAGTGATTCCCCTTTATGGAGAATAACGTGGTCAAAATGACAATCGTCTCAACAAGGACCTGGCATTAGAACATTTCATGTGGAATCTAATTACAAATTCTGCGCTAGAAGAGCACATTCAAGCGACGAGGCATACATCAGTTTTTCAACCTGGGTCCTAACCTGAAGGCTGAAGCTTAATTCACGAGTGTGGTGGATCAAAAACCAGGTGAGTGTTGACTAAAATTAGTTAAAAGCAGATAAAAGGTATTCTGCACCCACATTGAGAAAGCCCCTGTTTGAAGACGCAAGTCCCAATTCCAGTGCAAAAATTATCAGAAAGTGGAGATGACAGTTAATGATTATAATTACAAATATCACCTTGGATCTCATAAAGCGGAGAACTCCATCATCTTATAGAATGAAGGGTCTTTACAAATGGTCTGGCCTGGCACCTAGTCCAAGCTTGCTTGTATCTATATGACAAAAATAGCTAGGGGGAAAAACCCAAGAAAGCCAATCCCCAAATGCTGACTCTTTCTTGACGACAGAAAAAGCAGAAGAGAAAATGCAATATCTTAAGTGAAGCACTAGTTGCACTAGTTATCCTCAAGAATTGGAATTTGTGGAAGATGAACTATTTTGGTTCTGCACGGAAGCAGTTGATGTATTGCTCATCATCTGGGAACTCTGCACGGAAGCAGTTGATGTATTGCTCATCATCTGGGAACTCTGGTTAGACGATGACGACTCGGTGAAGAAAACTATATGCTCCTGATTATCAACTAACAGTTGAAGGGCTCTCGGTATCTGGGGCAGGTTCACATTCAACACCCCCTCGAGTATTGGAACAACCTGCCCCATCGATGGCCTGTGCGTTTCCTCATCTTGGACGCACCAGCAAGCAACTCTGCAAATCCTAGTTAGCTCTTCAGTATCTACGTTGGCCTCCAAGTTTGGATCCAAAAGATCGAGCAGGTCACCTCCTTCAGATATCTTCCTAGCAGCCCATGTTGGGAAGAACTTGATGTCCCCATTTTCCGATACCTCTGAGTTTCTCCGTCCTGATACAAATTCAAAGAGCATCATTCCATAGCTATAAACGTCAGCTTTTGCTGTTATGGCCACTCCGGAGATCCACTCCGGTGCAAGATACCCTCTTGTGCCTCTCATGGTTGTCAACACCCTGCTGAAATCTCGACCAACAAGCTTTGCCAGGCCAAAATCTGCCACTTTTGGACAGAATTCAGCATCTAGAAGGATGTTCTCTGGCTTGATGTCACAATGTATGATGCAGTCTCTACACTTCTCATGGAGATAAGCCAGACCTCGAGCCGTTCCCAAAGCAATTTGGTACCTCGTTTTCCAATCCAAGGTCTTCGAGTCCTTTCTTTGAAAGAGACAATAGTCTAAGGAGCCATTTGGCATGAATTCATAGACCAATAGCTTTTTGTCACCTTCAGAGCAGAACCCACGAAGCCTGACAAGATTCACATGCTGGATGGTCCCGATCGTGCTTACTTCTGTTCGGAATTGCTTGTCTCCTTGGCTTATGCTTTCGAGCTTCTTGACCGCTATGTGAGTTGAATCAGGTAATGTTCCTTTGAATACTGAACCAAACCCGCCCTCGCCCAACTTCTCCGAGAAATTCTTAGTTGCTATTAACAAGTCACGGTATGCATAGGCTCTGAGTGAACCCTCCACTGACTTCACTGTTACTGTTGCCCTCCTCCATCTCCAAATGCCAAACAAGAGAATGGCTAATATCATCAAGGCTGCACTAACAGACCCTGCAACTATCTTCTTGCTGAGATCCTCAACATCGGAGGCGGCAAGCCGGAGGTAGAAACTACTTGCAGTGGTATCACCTTGTGCAAGCCGTTGTACATTGAAGAGGTCGCCGAACCAAATTGAGCAGGCATTATTCTCGAAAGCATAAGCCGTGCAAGAGCAATTGTTCAAACAAGAGAGGCGACATTCCTTGGCATTTCTTACAGGTAAAGATTGGAAATCTGCCGACAATTTCATGTTAGAACTAAGCAAGAATCGGTCCTTCCCCCCATCTGAAGTGCTCAAAGCACAACTCAAGTTGGAATTCCTCTTACAACCACTAGACATGTCACTCAGATTCCAATCTTTTAGCGAGGTTATACTAAACCCTGGCAAGCAGCTGCAAAAGTCATCCGTGCTCTCGCTGCAAACACCAAAAGGCCCACAAAGATTGTGGACTTGACATCGTGTTGGGGGCTTGGACCAGAACATGTTCCACTGCTGGGAGGGCAACCAGAAAAGCTCCTGAATCTGCCCAGAAAGATCCAACACCACTCTTGATGTGTCATTGCTACTGTTTTTCGTTGAATAAGTGAAGTAGCTCTCATTTTCGTTGTCCACAAAGCTGAAATTGAAAATAAAGTTTGCTCTCAACTCAGGCACGTTGTCAAACACACTATTCTTACTATCCCACTGCCCGCTGGTCCAATAATGAATCGACTTGTTCCACAATATGAAGTACTCATTGGATGGCTGCAGCTGGAGAGAGAACAAACCTGTCGAAGGATCCTCAGAGTTCTTCCATGATGTCAAGAGCTGACTCGTGTTTTTGCGCTTGTCGATCGCTAATTTCGCACCGGGAAGCCACGTGTGCGTCGGGTGATCAAAGCTCTGCCACAGGGTCACGGAAGAATTCGGCCCGTCTTTGAGAGCGAAGTTGCCGTCGTCCCCAAGAACCGCCACCGTTGAGCTCGACCCAGATGAAGAAGTACTCAGATTTGTGGACCAAACGGGGACTCGGGAGCCGTTGACCATAACAAGATTGCCACCCGAGATCTTCAGTTCAGTGGAGTACCTGTCGGTGACGGGGTTGTCCCTGTTGGCGACCCAGACGACGGTTTGCACGCTGACTTTGTTGTACCAGATGCCTATGTAGGAGTACGGGGACTTACCTGGTGTGAAGAAACCGAGCCTGAAGGTGCCGCCGGAGGAGATTAAGATTTTGTTGCCGGAGAGGGACTGGTTGACGGAGATGGTGTTGGAGCCAAGACAGAGGCGGGTGGTGCAGAGAGATAAGCAAAGCAAGAAACTTGGGAGCGTGAACGACCATGGACTACTGTTTCTTCTATCCATGGCTGGACGACACAAGGTTCGAGCGGACAGGCTTAGAAACACAATGCACAGGGGGCAGTATATATAGCTGTTTGTGGCCAGAGTGAGGGCGAGGTAAGAGATCTCAAAGAAGAAGGGGTCAAGAAACGCGCAAAGTATTATGTGGAAACTTCAACCGAGACTGGTACATTTTCATCGAGTACGTAGATAGAAGCATTTAAGCTGACATCATACGAGGAGTGGTCCTGTTCAAGCTTGAATGCCGAAACCAATGGACAAGGATGGGCACGTCCGGGAGTGAAGAAGACGGTACTGGTGCAACTTGGAGAAAGTCCCCGTCAACCATTGAGCAATAACACGCAATAAATCTGAGCAGTGAGCACTCCAACTGTTGCGGAAGCCAAGCAATCGAACAGTAAAATAGATAGAATAAAAAAATAAATCGGACACGATCGTAGCACGGAATTTCACTATAGATCAAGCGATACAACGGATATTACAATCACACTCGAGTCATTCAAACACTTTCCGTGTTTCTCAAGCCCCAATTACACCCGATAACGCATGCAGTGTTTAGCCCCACAATTCTTCACGAAATAATCTCTCAATCTTGCGAAAGAATTATACACAAATCTTACCACAATATTTAATTACTAAAAATATTTGAATTTTTAGTGTAATTTCATGAACATAATCATGAACTCACTGCCAAGCACCCAGCACCTATGGATGATCCACGACACTCGGAGAGGAAACGGCGCTTCAAGTCTGCTCACATCAACAACGGCCTAAGGAATCCACCATGTGTATATATATAGAGCCAGAGAATAAAGACGCGCACAGTTGCCGCCTCAGGAAGTCCCCTGGTCGGTCAAAGTTGACAGAATCAAAATAAGAACATAAAATCCAATTGGACTCTCTTTCTTTTCTTCCTTTTATTTTATTTCTTTCTTTTCTTTCTCTCATGAAATTTGGCAACGATGGACTTTCCCCTTTTTGGAGTCTTGTTTGGCCGACTGCACTAACCGAACAGGAAATATAGATTTCCACGGTCGACATCCATAAATATTCAACTTCCAGATTTTCCTTTACTTTATTTTGGGTCGAGTTTCGTTCACGGATTCAAACTTGAGACATATTTTAACACGTTTGAGTGATCAAGCAAGACTTAAAACATGGGCAGGCTGGGCATAGCAAGAACACAGTTTTACCAGCTCTAGTCAAACAACGAAGGAAGAAAAAACCTAAGTGCCAAAGTCATTCATCCATCGGAAGGCTGGACCAGCAAGACTTCGTTTTTCACGATGCACGGTCCTGTTTTCTTAGTGTCCCTGCCCTTGTCGAAGCTGATCTTGAGGTCAGTATCCTCTAACAAAATGCCCTCGTTCCACGGATGCTGGACCGACCTGTTCGTCAAGGGACGAAGCTCTAGATTGCCGTGTTGGTTTATACCCCGATTATCGTGGTTGTTGTATTTCTTCATCGGAAAAACCTTACAGACTCTGTCCTGGCCACAGACGATGGCGTGAAGAGACCTCTCTGCCAGGACTTGGAGCGATTGGCACTTGGCGCCGCGTCCATCATAATCTTTCACTGTCTTATCAATTCCAGTACATATGCAACATTCTTTTAGGGATTAGATTGACTGGTGGCCCTTAATTTTTTTGCCCGAAAATCAAAATCTCCCTCTACTTATTTTTAAAGGACCTCTGTGCTATTTAGAAGTGTCGCCGTTAATCTTTCCGTCATACTTTTTCCCTTGCCGGTCAATTTTTATGGATATGATGCCGGAATGCATGTGTCGTGCTATATTCCGCTCGCATAATTGTGTAGAGCCAAATAGGGGCTACATTAGACAACATAAACATTAAAAAAAAAAAAAACACGCGCACACACACACACACAATTGAGAGAGCCCCATTACGGCCGTCATAACTGCGAGCTCCAACTCTAAGCTCGCGGTGGCCATGGCCATTCAAGCTCAAGCCTGCGGATGGCCATGGCCGAGAGATCTATTCGAGTCACGAAGCTTGAGCACCTGGCCACTTGATCTTTAAGCTCACAGCATGGCCACATGAGCTTCGAGCTTGCAGCGGTCATGTTGGCTTGAGTTTGAGCCACGAAGCTTGCAGCCATGGCCACTCAATTGGTAGTCGATGAGCGGGTATGAATAATAGTTTTTGGGGAAAATGACACAAATAGTCCCTGAACTTTAACCCAATTTATAATTTGGTCCCTGAACTTTTAATTTGTTCAATGTAGTCCCTGAACTTCAACGTAATGTTCAATTTGGTCCCTGAACTTTTGATTTGTTCAATGTGGTCCCTGAACTTTTAATATGTGTTCAATTTAGTCCCTGAACTATTTGAAAATGTTCAATATGGTCCTTCCATTAATTCAAGTGCAGGGACTATATTGAACATTTTCAAATAGTTCAGGGACTAAATTGAACACATATTAAAAGTTCAGGGACCACATTGAACAAATCAAAAGTTCAGGGACCAAATTGAACATTACGTTGAAGTTCAGGGACTACATTAAACAAATTAAAAGTTCAGGGATCAAATTGCACATTAAGTCAAAGTTCAGGGACTATTTGTGTCATTATCCCTAGTTTTTGTATTGTCATGGGCACTAGATTTTGTGGGTTGTTTGTACGGTAACATTTGAAGAAGAGGAGGAATCCAAAGGAGGACGGAAGAAACAGAGAAAGTCTTCTTTTGAAAAAAGAAGAAAAAAATCCACATCAGCCAAAAAAAAAAAAGGACCCACGTTAGAAAATAGCTAACAGTGTTAATGTCACGCTACAAACCGACAAAGGGACGACCAATGTCACTTTCTAAAAGTCAAGAACGGTTTCGAATTAAAAAGAAAATTGAAGGGATGATTTTGATTTTTGAGCAAAAGTAGAGAGACCAGCGGTTATTAAATCCGTGATTTACATCATGGTGATGAAAAGCCTGATCGTTTTAAAAGATCATAAAGAACGGTAAGTATTAGAATATATCTCGAATTTAAGCTCAAAACGAAAATCTAAATTTTAGAATTAAATAAATAAAAAGGAGGGACGCACAATTTCTACCTTTTGTTCATCCAAGGTAAATAAATAGGAAAAGTTGATCATGGACAGTATTGACTTGAGTTGACCGGATCTAAGAAGGATGCTGTGCGAGGATTTCTTTTTGCGGGGAATAGACTAATATTAGGTTTCCTTTTCAAAATATATTACATAAATACACGCTTGTGGAAACCTCAGGTGTGCCGCTGTATAGGTGAGTGCAGGGACGACTTGGCTTTTGAAGTTTCATCGATTAAATATCGTGGAAAGATTTGTGTATAATTTCTTCACGAGATTGAGATATTATTTCGTGAGAAATTATGAGATTATGTGTTATTGGGTGTAATTAGGGGCTGAGAATAGTGTTTGAGTAACTCGAGTGTGGTTGTAATCTCCATTGTATCGATTGATCTATAGTGGAATTCTTTACCGCTGTCACTAGATCGAATCGCGTAAATTTGATATCCGATTTATTTTTTGTTCTGTCTATTTTATCGTTCGATCGCTTGCTTCTGCAACGCTGATTTTGCAGTAGCACAACCAAACAATGATGGAAGCAGATTAGACTTTTTTTGATTGCTGAAGCAAAGTTAGACTTTACAATAGCACCTCTCGCACCCGAGAAGGATCAACGATAAGATAGTATCGAGAAAATAAGTGCAGTAAGAAAAGTGAAACCATACATCAACAGATCAAAAGTACGTGATGAATTGTAATATAGGAAAAGGGAAAAGGAAAAGTGGTAATGGGAAAATGGGACAGCATACGAGGGAAAGCTTGGGAAAATTGAGGGGATTATGGTAACTGCAAAGCCCAACTGGATTATAGCATGAATAGATTATGAACTGAAAATCAAAGCTAGGCCCTGAAAAACAGGCTCCTTTTAACATACATTGAAGTGGGACTTGGGACTTGTATGTAGTCCACACTGCAATGGACATTATTGTTTGGATCGACCTTATTGAAATGAGAACTCAAATCGATTTCCCATCAGAACAAATAGTGGAGATTTTTAACGAGTTAAGTTGAGAAACTGAATTTGGTTTTACAAAACTTGTAAGCAATGCCACAAATATCAGTGGGTAATTAATAAACAAATTAATGCAAGCACCCAACAGAAGTCTCGTCCATCACTTTACAAATCAGTTGTGCTAAAAGGTTCGGGTAATCTCCAGCATTACTCATACTCGAAACATAGAGCGACGAGGCGATCCATAGAAATTCGGCTTTAGAAAAGATATAAATGCCACGCGAAAAACGGGGCGGGCATTAACATCCTACAGATCCAACAAAAGGATCTGCTAGTAATACATACATTGGCTGGAAATTATCATGACATAAATCCCGGTCCTAGCAAGTCGTAGTTTCAAGGGCGGTTTTCGTACCATGACTCATTATATAAACAAAGCAAGTAGAAAGAGGAGTTTATACTGAGAAATGCCAAGGCTTATAGCCCGCTTTGCATGCAATGAGGGCAGATTTGAGATGACAGTGCCAAAATTATCAGAAAGTGGAGATGACAGTTTCCGATGCTAATTACCAGTAGTACCTTGGATCTCAAAAAGCAGAGAACAGATCATTATATAGAATGAAGGGTCTTTACAACCGGTCTGGCCTTGCCTGGCACTTAGTCCAGGCTTGCTTGTATCCATATGTGACAAAAATAGCTAGGGGAAAAAGCCCCAAGAAAGCCAATCCCCAAATGCTGAAATTTCTTTCTTAACTACAGATAAAGCAGAAGAGAATATGCAGTATCCAACTGAAGTACTACTTGTACTAAGCATTTATCTTATATTCCTCAAGACTTGGACTTTGTTGAAGATGAACTATTTTGGTTCTGCAAGGAAGTAGTTGAGGTATTACTCTTCGTCTGGGAACTCTGGTTAGACGATGATGACTCAGTGAAGAAAACTACGTGCTCCTGATTATCAAGAAACAGTTGAAGGGCTCTCGGTATCTGGGGCAGGTTCGCATTCAACACACCCTCGAGTATTTGAACAACCTGCCCCATCGATGGCCTGTAAGTTTCCTCATCTTGGACACACCATCAAGCGACTCTGCAAATCCTAGTTGGCTCTTCAATATTGGCATTTGTCTCCAAATTTGGGTCCAAAAGATCCATCA